TGGCTCTGGCTGTGGCTCTGGTTCCCTCCTGCTTCTCAGCTTCTGTCACCCCCTCCTGCCCTGTGCATCTCCCTCCTGGGCATCCCTTACTGTATGTGCTGTCCTCCTGCTTTCAACCAGAGCTCACACTCTGCATCCTGTGTTCCTGCAGTGTCTGAGGGCTCACAGCACCTACTGGGCACCTCTGCTCTTCCATCCCAAGTGAAGGCATTGTGAGGAAGGGGGTGGCTCGACCTTGCTTCACTTTGGGACATGAAGGACATTTGAAAGACCCTACTACCTCGATAGGCCACACCCCAATGAAGGAAAGCAGGAAGGAGAAGGATATTGCCTGTGAACCCCAAAGTCTAGATCCATGCACCTGGATATCTGAGCACAAAAGGAAACATGGTGGGTTAGAGGTGGAGGTAGAGGTAGAGGTGGTAGAGAAGGTTTAGATGGTGGAGAGGAGGAGGCAGCAATGGTGGAAGGTAGTGATGGTGGCAAGGAGGTGGTGGCGATGGTAGAGGTGGAGATGGTGGAGAAGGTTTAGGTGGTAGAGGTGGTGAAGGTGGTAGAGGAGGAGGTAGTGGTGGTGAAGAGGGTGATGGTGGTGATGGCACAGGTGATGGTGGAGGAGGAGGAGGAGGAGCAGGTCATGGGGCTCAGGCCTCAAGTACAAGGACCTCATTGCCCTGCAATGTCCCCTCCTCTGATGACTGTACCTTCCACTTGTAGTAAGGATGAACCAAAGCATCATGTTTGATTTACATTGGAAAGTGGCTAACTTTTATATCTGAGTCAGATGTCGTATGTATGTCACGGGCATTATCTAGGAACTGCCAGCTGTCCAGGAACTGGCAGCAATCTAGAGTCACTAGTGCCATTGTACAGTGGGGAGCTGTGTGCTGGATATACACAAATGGGCCACTGAGGTCCCTGTGGACCTGGGGGTGGGGAGCAGAGAGGGAGCAGAGCTCTATATCTTTGTTGTCATCTGTATTGATACAGCTACATCTGTCTCTATGTCCATATCTGTATCTATAGATGTGTCAGTCACGAGTGTCTTTACCTATATCAGTATCCATGCACACCCATGTCTATATCTGTATATTCATAGCTATATCTAGGAATATCAACAAAAGCCTCAGCCTTAATATTTACACCTGCATCTACACTTATGTCTGTATCTGTATACTATGCAGGTCTATATCACAGTGCCATCCATGTAAAGGCATTAGCCCATACACAAACAACAATCCACATCTACGCAGAGGAAAGTGAGGTACCAGCTCAGGCCCATGATGGGGGCCTGGAAGGGGGAGCAAAGCTGAGACAGAGCAAAGTGGTAAGATGCACGCAGCCTTGCTGGGCCCAGCAGTGGCGCTGTGACCAGCCCTGAGCAGCTCTGAGGCCTTTGGCACTTCTGATCAAAGTAAACAAATGGCAGAAGAGGTGCGCAAAGCCTTTCATGTGCAGCCATGGGCTGTGGCTGGTTGGGGCTGTGAGCCAGGTGCCCAGGTGCAGAGCCGTTTCTCTCCTGGGCTCCATGATTCATTTCCCTCCTGGCATTGCCAGGCAATCAGGACAAGAGTCCAGGACTGGCAGCTTTTACACTTGAACGGGATATTTGGAGGGGAGTAAAACACACAGCACCAGGCGACATGCTTCAGAATGATATTCGGGGTGTCTACTACATCTTAATTCAACATCCAGCTCAGCAGTTCCAGAAAGGACTAAGGAGAGCAGTGCACACACACGTTTGCTCTATCAGCACAGCTGGGTGCCATGTGGAACTAGCGCTCACAGCGCGGGTGGCACATGATGATTTTCCCCATTCTTTCACCTGATTGCATTCTGGACAGGTTTCCTGTAACTAACTGTTCTTGACCTGAGGAGGTGTCTTGCCTTTACCCACCAATGTCGAGCTCAGTTGTAGAGGAGCGCCGTTCTCAATTCTCTTTCACATAGTGCAGTTGTTCTCTAAGACAGTTTCTCCTGGATTCGAGGTCCCTGGAGAGCTGTTCCAAGTACTTCCCACAGCTCCCTACCAGAGCCCCTCTGGCTCTTAGTGACCAATGGCCTCCAGCTCTTGCAGCTTTCTGGACAGTGAGCTCCCCACAGAAGAGGCCACAAACTCTGGATCTCCCATGTGCCCGCAGCCAAGGCCCAAGTGGAGGAACTTGAAAGCCCTGACTCAATTTGCAGTGTTATGGGAGGCCCTAAGGAGCAAGGGCTGGGCTGGACCAGAGCTGTGGGCATTCAGGCATCTCTGCATCGACCCTTCCTAGACGTCCAAGGCATATTTAGTATAGGACTTTAACACCTCCCACCTCCCACCTGCCTGGGGATGGACTAGCAGAGACAGGCGGCTGGGGATGGCTGCCTTGGGGCAGAGTCATTAGCTCTCTAGGGGCTCTCCAGGGAGGAGGAAGACAATTCTCAAGCAGGGACAGAAAGGCAGCAGCCAGCCCTTCACAGAGCACTGGGGTTCTGTGCCTGGTTTGCCCTGTGGGGACCATGCTTAGACTTCCACTGGAGCAATGAGAGTCAACAGCACCTTACTGAGTTCTTCAGGGGTCTCAGACACTGGGCAGGGCCTGGGCCCTGAGATGAGGACAGCAGATGCCACTCATTCAAAGTAGGTGCCTGAGTTTTGCCTTTTCCTGACTGATGCCTTTTGTGGCCTCTTTTTGTGAGGCAGGTAGAAGTCATTAGTGGCTAAACACTTAAAATGCTCTGTTCTTAGAAATGAGCAAGGGCCACTGAAGAAATTCCAATTTTCAGAATTTGAAATAAGATGTTGCTGATGAATGTTCAGTTCATTTATTCATTCGGCAAAAATGTATGGAGTTAGGACCTCGTGCCAGGCCCTACTGCAGAACTAGAGGTAGCTAGGCAAATGTTTTATGTTGTAGCAGGGCTGGGAAGGGAAACGAGTCAGCCTTTCACATCCACCCACTTTCCATTTCCAGAGTGAATAAACTGAGAATCCCAAACATTAAAAAAATAAAAATTGCATCTGTACCAAATACACACTGGGTGGGCTCAGGGCAGAGGTGGCACTGCACTGCTCAATGCTCAGGGCAGCTAGAGGTGGAGACTTACCAGGCCCACTGTGCTGAGGCTGAGAGACTGAGACCAACACCGTCATCTCCAGAGAGGTGGCCTCCTCTGCACCATCTGCACGCCCTGCGCATGCCTCTGAGCACATCCTGGCTTATAACGATTTGTTCAGGGTCTGTGGCCCTTTTCTCCTCATAAGCTCATGTGCCACTCACCACTAAAGTCTTAGTGCTCAGTTTCACGACTGGCACATACTAAATGTCTGCTCATTGATTTCTGATATATCTGTTCTCACTTAAAAAAAAAAATCTCAAGGATGTGTGACAGAGAAGCAGTAGGAAAAGGTGTGAGATCAGTGCATCACAAACTCATGTTGTGTATGAAGTGCATTACTGCCCTGAGCTGAGAGAATTAGAGCAAGGGGAAGACCTGAATCCTGGCACCTAGACTTCAAGTCCTCACTGAAGCTAATTTTTCATTGTCCTTGAAGCTAATCATGCCTGCGGAAACAGCATCACCAAATTGACTAAACGAGACTTTCAATTAACTCAAACAGATGGCTGAAATTTTCCAGGTGACTTTCCATATTAATTCAGCAAGTTGGCTGGACCAGGCCCCAGGAGGTTGGAAGGGATGGGCTGCGAGGCACATAGTGAAATATGTGGATCTTCAGGGGAGAAGCCAAGGCCATAATCTCAACTTTGCTTTATTGCAGTGAAAGAATCAGAAGCCAGGTTGATTCAACATCCCCTAGCCAGTGTGAGGTAAAGACCGTCTGCCCTGGGATGTACTGGCAGAGACAGGTGGCTGGGGATGGCTGCCTTGGGGCAGAGTCATTAGCTCTCTAGGGGCTCTCCAGGGAGGAGGAAGACAATTCTAAGCAGGGACAGAAAGGCAGCAACCGGCACTTCACAGAGCACTGGGGTTCTGTGCCCGGTTTGCCCTGTGGGGAGCATGACATAGGTTTCCACGGGAGCAATGAGAGTCAACAGCACCTTACTGAGTTCTTCAGGGGCCTCAAGCACTAGGCAGGGCCTAGGCCTTGAGATGAGGACAGCAGATGCCACCTCAGGAAAACATCACTCAGAGCACCAAGCATCCTTCTAAGGCAGGCCTGAGCTATCAGGGCCCTGCCTCCTGTCCTTTGGGTAGCTTCTAACAATGACGAGTTCTGGGGCTGAATCATGAAGACCCAGGCTAGCTGTATGGCAAAATGTGGGTTGGATATTTTCTAAGGAGTTATTCTTCACTTAAACAGCCTATTTATGGAATCACAGGGATTTATAAATGAGGGTATTTCTGAGTCACATTTGCCCTTTTTCTGAGTCTCCTATCAAGCACCCCCACAGAGAAAGGCTCAATGATGACACAACTGGGTCAGGGTGGTATAACCAGACCAGATGCTTGGATTTGGGGGGCAAAACTAGCTGATATCAGACCATGCCACTCAAATAGATCTTACTCAGTTGTTCCAATTTAACCAAAAATCTACTCAAACCTGAAGTCGAAAGCAACATGCCAATAATGTGAATCGTTTCCACCAACCGCAGTTATTCCGTGTGGCATCATTAGAATAGAACTCAATACACAGGTGCTGGAGCTGGCCAGGAAAAGAAAGCCACAGGAATGCTGCTCTAATTTACAGAGGGTCTGGCTGTGTGGGTTTTCACGGGAGGAAGACCTGCATCAGGTCACCTCACAGATGTCACCCTGGGCGGCCCAGCCTCTGGGGATTCTATGCTCCTGGTGTTAGCTAAGCAGCAGTACCTGTTGACTGGCTAGTGTTTCGTTTTCTTCCCTAGAAAACCTAATCATTCAGCAGCAAGGAAGACTTTTGAAAATATACTTATTTATTGGTTGTCTAAATCAGTAGCAAAAAAAATCTGACCCTGAAAAGACTGTGGAAACTGTGTACTAGGATTCTTTTCTGACCTATCAGAGGGGAGGGGACAAACCTCATCCGAGCATCATCAGGTGGCATCATCTCCAGGTCGTGGGTGGGTCCGTTTAGGCCGATGACGTGGAGGGAGATGCTGGGGTTCTCACTGCCCGCCTGCAAAAGAAGGAGACAGAGATGAGAGTAAGTGACCTTGTGCTGGAGATCGCCCTGGCTTTGCAGAATCTTCCCCAGAAGACTCCTGTGTGGGACTCTAGCAACTTTGGGGCTCAATGCTACGGAGAGAAATTCAGTTGGATAACAGATTGGTCATACACAGAGTTTTAAGAAGGGCAAAGGAACAATTAGGCCAGTTCCTTTCTTTCCAAGGAACCCCTCTTCACATTCCATCTACTGGCTCAGTCTGCCATTTTGATCAAGCTGTCTACTGGCCTTGGGGAACCACATGGGAGGAGAAAGAAAACTTCACAAGTGGAGAGAAGATGATGTCTCTGGGGGTGGTGAGGGAGTGGTGTGGGACACTGATCAAGGTGTCATGGCCCAGGGAGGGAAAGAGAGGATCCTGTTGCAAAGAGCCAGGACACCATTCTGTTCCCTGCTGCCCTCCCTCTGGGTAACAAGTGCTGGCCTAGATGGATCTGGGGGAAGATGTGATAATTCCTCACCAGGGGATGGGGCAGGGCTGATATTCTCCCTCCAGCTCTACACTTGTAACAACCACTCAGGACTGGGGAGGAAGTCAGCCCAGAGCCAGGTAGGTTCCCTGACTCCAGGATCTGATTTGGGAGTGGGTGGGAGCAACAGGGCAAAGGGTGTCCGAATTCTGTTGGTTAAGTATGTTGCCTTTCTATTAAAATGTAGATCCCCTATGTCCTGAGCAACCTGGAGCAATCTGAGCCTCTGTCTCAGAGTTTACTGGAAAACGAAAGGTCCCACTAGATGTCAGGTGGTCACTCCTAGATTTAGGGAACTCCTGTGAGGGGTCACCATGGAAACCAGTCCATCGCTGGGCAGTCAGATAAATGGCAGGCAACCACATGCCGCTGCTGCTGCTCTGTGTGTGTGTGTGTGTGTGTGTGTGCGCGCGCGCGCGCGCGTGTGTGTTTTGGGAGGATGCAGAAGGATTAACCTGGTACCCCCTACTAAACTGGGCATCCAGCTAACCCTGGACTCTGGCAAGTAATATAGGGCTATATCCAATCAAGATTGGTAGAAGATGAGGGGAAGGAACACCACTCTGTCAAAGGCAAATCCATGTTGTGTGCTAGATGGACTCAGATGGGACTAAGGAGAGACCAAGCTGAGGCCTCTGGGGACCTATGTGTCTCCACTCTGCATGGAGGGTTTCCCATGGATAATGGTCACATGAACAAAGCGCTGCTCAGACAGGTCTGCAATACTAGTCCCTCTGGACTGCAGTGTCACCTCAAATTCACATGCTGAAGCCCTGCTCCTCCGTGTGGTCCTATTTGGAAGTGGGTCCTTTGAGGGATTGGGAGGCTGGGGTCCACATGATGGGATTAGTGTCTGTACCAGGAGTGTGAGGCATCAGGGCCCTCTGTCTTGCACCATGTGAAGAAGACACAGTGGAAGCCATGGCATGCAAGCCAGGAAGGGTGCCCTTGCCAGGAATGGATCAGCTGGATCACCCTGAGCTCAGATGCAGCCTGAAGCTGTGAGAAACGAGTTTTTGCTGTGTAAGTGGCAGGGTCTGTGGATATTATTTCGGCAGCTGGAGCCCATGGAGCTCTTTCCTGGCCTGTGGCTCTAGGAACCTTGTTCACCCCTTTATCTCAGTCTTATTACAGCTTCTTTTGTGTCAACTGTAGGCTGGCAAGTGTGGTGCTCCCAGGGCATAAGAAGGTACAGAAGGCAGTGGGTCTGCACCAACACTGTCTGTGATGCGGGTCTGTGTTTCCTTGGAACAGGCTTGGGGAGCACCAAAGTCCAGCAGCAGGGCTGAGGTTTGGTTGCCTGGGGGCCTAGCAGCAAGGGCCCACGTTCATTAACCTGGTGGTCTTGGGGCCAACTAGAGAGGCCAGTGGGCAGACAGCTCTGTGTGTCACACTCCCGGCCATCAATGCCCTCCAGCATCAGCCCCCTTGAGCTGGGACACTGTGATTTGGTAACAAAGTGAGGTGTGGGTGTCTCATATCCTCCGCTGGACCTGTGCTGCTCTTTGGGTCAGAACAGGACTGTCTCCATCCACTTGGGCCGCTCTAATGAGATGCCATATGCTGGGTGTCATGGCATCAGGCATGTGCATCAGGCAAGACTTGGAGGGACGGAATGTCCAGGATGAAGGTGATGGCAGCTCAGGTGTCTGTCCTGCTCCTCACGGATGGAGTCTTCTCACTGTGTCCTCTCATGGTGCCCGGGGGACAGCTCTCTGGTGTTTCTTGATAAGGCACCGATCCCAGTCACGAGGGCTGCCTTCCTGTCCTGGTCACCTCGCCAAGGCCCCACCTCCTAATGTTACCACTTTGGGGTGAGGATCTCAGCCTAGAAATGTTGGAAGAAACTGACTTCCAAACCATAAAAATGACCAAACATCATCAGCCGACTCAGGTCAAGCCAGGGGTCAAATTGCTGTCCCCTTGACCCCACAGAAGCCACATCCTAAAGAGGAAAGAGAAGGGCTTTCCTGACAGCATGAAATTTTGTCACCCAGAGTCATGAGTGGGGGTGATGTTATTTATTTTGGTTCTGGTGAAGCTCAGGCAAATGATTAACAGCCGCTCAATTATTTAAAATAAAGCAAACTCACCAACTTAACAGTGATGGAACTTGTGCAAGGAAATGAGAAATAATTAATCTCCCCTGTTTACTGCTCGCTCATAAACACGCTGTCTGTTCTTCTCCCACCCTGCCAGCCTACCTTGGGGTAGTGATACGGCTTCGCTGCTGGGTATGCCGAGCCTGTGTAGGTCGGCAGCTCCATCACGGGCACGCGGGAGTCGTTGATGGTGGCGTAGGCCAGCCTCGTGCCATCTGGAGACCACCAATGTGCAATGTGGGTCTTCAGGATCTCCTCTAGGGAAACAAAGCAGAGAAATGTGGATGGGTTGCCAGGGGAGGGAACTCCACACCACAGCATGCACCGTGACCCCCCGGGACCTGGCCATCCTCACTGAGCCCCATATGCATTTCCCCAGGCTCTGGATGGGTCTGAGGCCGACGGCCAAATCCCAGTGTCGTCTTCGTACTGGGGGCCAGGAAGCCCTTTTTCTAAATCATCTTGATTAATTTCCTATTTCTCCTTATTTAATTGACACGGTTCTCCAAAGCCCAGTCACTGCTAAGGAGCACTTCTGAATAGAATGATTGCAGACTGTGATTTGTATATGACTTTAAACACAACCAGAGGAGGTCAGCTTGCACTGCAGCACAGCAGCTGGTGTGGAGCTCCCAATGGGAAAGGCGGCTTTGCCCAGCTCTCAGCCAGAAAGGACAGGTGGCCTGCAGGAGGTGCCGGGCCTGCAGACAGGATATGCTCCTGCCATGTCCTGAGGGGGAGGGAAGAGGAGGAGGAAGTAGAGGAAATCAAAGGTCCAGCCTGTATCCAGCCCCAGAAAGGCAGATATGGGTGGGGCTGGGGTGCTTAGTGATGGAGTGCTTGATTGCCAAGCAAGCCTGAGGCCCTGGCTCTCATCCTCAGTACTGAAAATCCCCAAACCAAACCAAACAAACACACAGACACCAAGAGAAAGAAGGACACAATTCAATCCATGCTGGCAGATTACGAAGCATGCCAGCATAGAAAGGACAGAGACAGGAACTGGGATTCTCTTAGGTTGCCACCAGGGGCACCCACAGCCCTTCTTCTCCCATATGTCCCATATAGCTACCCAATGTCCACTATACATAGATTTTCTAGTTATTTGAAATACAATCCAGAGAGAAACATTCTACTATGTGGTTATCTTTTCCTGTACTGAGATTGAACCCAGGACTTTTATATTTAGCTACAACTCCAGCTTATTGTTTAATTTTGTTTTGAGATAGGATCTTGTTATGATACTAAGTTGCCAAGGCTGAGTTTGAACCTGTGATCTTCCAACTTTAGCCTCTCAGAACACAGCTTGTCACACAGTCCCAGCACCAACCCCATGCAGGTGGCTCTGAGCTCAACGGGTTCTCTCTTACAGAAAGGGCTTCTTGTAGTATAAATGAGCCGCCCTGGGGTCTGCTTTTGGAACAATTCCTGTAGTTACACAACAGGAGGCCCTGGTCCCTGGCAGGCAAGGACCACATTCCTGCCTATGTTTCCACAATGCAGAGTGCAAGCAGGGGGCTAAGGACACTTGAGAAGCAGCATTTGTACATAGCTGGATGGGGAGCAGCTGGTTGGAATGGAGTTGGGTGTCACTGCCCAGGGGCCACGTGGTCAACAAGGGGAAGTACAGTAGGAGGACCCAGAGCTGGGCCACTCTGGCACAGAGGACTCAGTCCTTGTCCATGGCCATGAGGACATTTCCCAGTCCAGGCAGAGGAGGCCATGTGCCCAGGGGAGGCTGGCTGGGGTACAGGTTGCCCCCTCCCCATGCTGGAGACCTGGGTAGCCCTGGAGGAATGATGGTCACATTAGTGTCCTTCTGTCTGTCCTCTGAGATCCCTCCTTCAGGGTAGTACAGGCTGCAGTGACCCTGCTGTTGCTTCCAGCACCAGGCAGCAGTTTCATGACTCACGAAGCCATGGTCAGGCCACCTTCCATCCCCAGGATGTACCAACCTGGACCCAGTGTTCAGACAGTGGGTACCAAGGCCCTGAGTCCTGGCTCTGAACCCCATCAAGTGGCCTGTTACTGAGTCCCCACATATGGAAGCAGGTCTGGTAGCTGCTCTCATGTCCCTCACTGTGATCCCATGGATCTGCCCAACTTCTATGGGGGACTTGGGGCTCTGCGGAGATGCTTGGGGAGGAGAGCAAGTCCTGCAGCCCAGTCTCCAGAGCTTGTGATTTTCCAACATCGTCAGGTGGGAGCTTGGAATGAGGTGACTCAGAAGTGACTTTACACGGAGTCACCTGATCTGCCAGGGTGCTGGTGGGAGCAGTGAGTAATAGACCCCAGCAGATGGCTGGCTGGAAAAAATAAGCATCATTTGAATGCAATTTTCGTGATTCTGTTCACTTTTCCAACATGGAAATCAGTGCCAGTCTGAGGGCAGAGGGAGGAGGGAGTGTGGCCCAGCAGAAGTCAGCCTAGGGGCTGTGCAGTGCTTTGAAGGAGCATGTTAATTCCCAACCACAGTGGACAAAGAGCTGGCAGCCATAAGCTTCATAAATGAAGAATGCTGGATGGAGACAAACAGGAATAACAGCCAAACCCCCAAGAGACGACTTGTCTGCTCCTTCTCTTTGAAGCCAGCATTCTCTCTTAAGACTGAAGAGGTCAGACATGACATGTGGACAGGCAAGTCTTCATCATTCTACAGGTGGTGAGAGTTGACCAGGGGGAGAGCAAGGTGCCCTGCTCCTTCCCACCCACCTTTGTTTCCATCTCACTGTTGGACTTGCCCCCTTGGACTGGAAGGAAATACTGTTTTCCCAGTCTGCTTAGCAGGACAGGGTGTGTCACACGTAGGGACAGAGACTGATTAAATATGAGTGAGGACCTGAAGCTGAACTGAGGAGACCACATTTTCATCAGTCCCATCAGCAAAGAGCAAGGGTCCTATGTCCAAGCTCAACTTGCCCTTTTGAGAATTTGGATGCAGAAAAACAATCAGTACGGATCACAAAATGAAATGTTTGGAACAGAAGTTGGAGCCTGTTGAGTTCAGGGATGACAACCTGTGTGTGTGCATGAGTGTGCGAACATGTGCGCGTATGCTTGTGTGCGTGTGTGAGAAATGTCAGCTCCTTCCAATCCCAGCCCACAGTGACACGGTGGCATATACAAAGGTGTTCTGCTGTGCTGAAAAGCTAGTCCTATAAAACAAGGATAGCTAATTTGCTTTCCCTGTGTGTCCATGAACACATTGTCTCTTAGCGTTTCCATTTTTCTATATGCTGGTCACTCATTAAGGACATCATTAAGTATAAGGAGCTAATGGGGAAAGGACCAGGCAGACAGCACCCAGGCCTCAGCATTCATTATGAAAGCCCCTGCTCTGCAAACATTTTCTTCAAGATCCCTGGCTTATTGAGGCAGCTGCTTAAATGCCATGTACCAAATGTGGTTAAGGAACAGAGATTTGCGGACAGAGGAAAAAAAATCCCTATTTCATCAACTGAATTAATTGCATGAGCCCTTGCCTCTGAACAGAATGAACAGCTCACCCTTTCCCAAAGCCCAGCTGAGGAGTTTTCCTTCACCTTCTTGCTCTGGGGGACTAGTTTAGCATCACATGGTGAGTTTTTCTAAGATGTCCCAAGGTACCCATGGCTCACAGTGGGCACAGACTTGGTCAGTCTCTCATTTCTTGACAAAACTGCCATTAGCAGTGCTGCTCACCCATGCCAACCTGTGTTACAGGCACCTATCTGGCAGGAAAGGAATCCCTTAGGCTCCAGATGATAGAGATGACTCAGTCAAGGGGAATCTTCACATCTCTGGGTTGCTTGGCAGACTCAGATTAAGAGGCACACACTGATGTTATTCTGTCACATTCTCCCAGTGTGGCAGGGGTAGCTTGAAGGCATCACTCGGCTGTGCTGTGTACACATGCGCTGTAAATCCAGGTGCCGGTGGCCCTGCTCCAGGCATGGGGTCTGCGTGTACAGTGCACCTGGGAGGGTCCAGACTCCTCTCCCGCAGAGCCTGACAGGTGGCTTTGTGGTGCACATTTTGGTTAAAGATGACTTGACCAGAGAAGAAGATAGAAGGCCTGTCACTGTGAGCACATGGAGGGGCCTGGAGGACACCATGCTGAAGGAAGTAAAGCAGGCACAGAAAGACAAGCACTGCATGCTCTCACCTGGAAGTAGGATTAGGGAATCTAGGGAAAGTGACATCACAAGGACAGAAGGAAGAGACTGGGATGGAAGAGAGGGGATGTGTTGGTCACAGGGCACAGAGTCTCAGAGAGACAGGAGGAGCAAGGCATGGTGACTGTGGCTGACATAACTGTGCTCCTGAAAGCTGTGGATAGAGTGGGGTTAAACGAGGAACACCGAAATGATGCACGTGTTAATCAGCTCAACTAAGCCACCCCATGATTCATACACATCTCAGAACAACATGTCACACACCACAAATATATACCATTGTGTCAGCTAAAACAAAACAAAAAATAAAAAAAGGACTGACTAGAGACATCCATGCCGTCTTGTGAAATAAATATCGAATGTGGAATTGTATGCACAGGGTCTCATCAGCTGGGAAGCAGCTCTTCAACAAATGACAGGCTCCTCTAATGGGTTTGCTGTGTGCCCTAAGAGAGATGAAATCCTCACATAACCTGTGCATGTGACTTTACTTGGAATGAGGTCCATGCAGACATAATCATGAGGGAGCTTGGGATGAGGTCATCCTGGGATGGGGTGGATCTTGCCGCCACTATAATTGCTGTCTTTATGAGGACAGAAGAAGAGCACAGACACAAAGGGGTGACCGCGTGTGACCACAGAGACAAAGAGATGTGTCTACAAGTCCATGTTAAGCCCCTTCTGCAATCAAGGAATTGGAGGCTCAGAGAACTTTGCTGAAGAAAGGCATGGCAAACCTCATGCTATGATGGTGGGAGACAATGTTTACAATAAACAAAATATTATCGTCCACAACCCCAATACACAAGTGGTCCACATAGATACTGTAAAGGACAGTGGGAGCGGAAAACACAGAAACAGCAGGAAATTTGAGTGACATTGCAGCAGGCTTTTCCTGGGAACAGGAATGGCGAAGCTTGGAAATTGACCTCCAACACCCACACTCTGCTCTTTAGTAAAAGGATACACGAGTTGTGGCTGGGCACGTGGCCTGCCAGGGCAAAGGCAAAGTTTCCCAGCCCTGGAAGTTGGGGCATGTGACCAGTCCCACTTCTGCCCCTCTTTCCCTTCTTTCTGCTTGCAGGGGTGAGACCACCTCAGCA